GCAGAAGCCAGCCCGCTTCAGGCCTGCGGTAGTTCTCTGGTGAGCCGTCGGACAAGGTAGGAAGCAATGCATGGGTATCAGGCTCGAATGCAAGCAGCAGCTCCCTGCACTTCTAGCCCATTACACATTCCTTGAGTGATCTGTCTCAGATACAGATCGTGCCTGCGCCTGCTGGTTCTGCATTGATCTGGTGCTGGGGCCAGTTGTCTCTTTTTGCACGGGGGGGGGGCACCGTGAGTCACTCGGCTGCACGTCATGGTGCGACAATGCACAAGGCAGATGCGCTGTCCATGTACAGAGCGTCCATAGTGGTGGAGGCTGCATGTGGGAAGGCGAACATTTTCCCAGTGTTGGTCTGGGCGGTGACTGACTGCATTTTCACTCCCTCCCCCGAAATCGACCTGCTGCCATGTCAGCCCGGGCCAGGGATGTTTACAGAGCCGATGAGTCAACTTTTTTGTTTTTCTGCTGTAGCAACGCACGGTCTTGCGGAAGGATTGGCGCGGGTATGTCTGGGAGCTGCAAATGGACAGAGTCACGAGCCGCAGGGACTCGGAAAGCAGGGGAAAAGCTTGAGCTCCCTTTGATCTGACACGCACACTCTCCGTTTGTTGGCCACGAAGAGTGTGTGGCCTAGATCGAGCTGCATCTTGTTCACTTGAACCAATCGCATCTCGATCCAAACTACTGTTAGGGCTCCTGAGTCTTATTCAATGTAGCATGTGCCCCTGCTGTACGGTTCAGACTAGACCAAATTTCCCCCTGGCCTTTACCAGTCATACCTCCCATCTCTGAACTGGCTTCATCACTCTGCTCTCCTCCCCACTGAGTGAGCGGACTGGCGCATCATCCAGGTGGATGCTGCACACTGGTGGTGGTGGAGGGGAGTCCCCATTACCTGTACAGCGCTTTGAGTGGAGTGTCCAGAAAAGCGCTATATAAGTGTATATTATTTATAAGGAAAGATGTGGGTCAGACTCCTTGTTGGCCTTGTCATGCAAAGGCTGATCTAGGTCACCATGTGTACGAGGTTGTTAGGTCATGGCTGTAGAGGGATTGTGAGGAGAAGAAACAAGTGTGATATATTTGCTATGTGTGAGGGCTTTAAAACACAGTCGAATGTGGAGAGAGAAAGGCTGTTACTAGTGGTAACAATCAACCAGTTCATCTCACAATGAAATATGATCACTTTGTCAACAACATACAATGATACTGTGCAGCAGTGGAGCTAAAATCCACATGGACCACGCAGGGTCCCGTAGATCAATATGTAAAGTATCTCTTTTTTTAACTGGTTTTAAAATGGATCTTTTTTTGCTGTACAGCGAAGTTCACTGCTTATGCATCCTGTGTTGTGCATCTCAGAGCATTCCAAATACCATTAGGGAAAAAAAAACAGTTTTTTTTAAATATGCCTTCATACTAGTATTTGACTGAAGAAACAGATTAGAAACTGCAGGAAAGTTTACAGCGTGAAGTCTCATGTGATATTATTGTCACCAAATCCTTGCTGTGCTGAGGGAGAGTGGAAGTCTCTGGAGCTCTCCTGTTTGTGATTCACCTAACACAGTGCATCACTCTGCCCAATGGCTGACAAATCTGAGCCCAGCCCTGCATATTAAAGTTAGTGGGCAGCATTGCTGCTGCTTCACAGCTCTGGGGCCCTGGGTTCATTTCCTGGGATGCTGTCTGCACGGAGTTTGCATGTTGTCCCCGCATTCGCATGGGATTTCTCCGGGTGCTCCCGTTTCCAGTAAGGAAATTCGTTTTTTATACCAAGAGCTGTGGTTGTCTGGATCAAGCCTCCCAGCCAGGGCCTGAAGTCCGTACTCTTGACTCCTTGAAGAAGCAGCGAAATGAAATTTTAATATTGCTTGTCTGCTAAACCGCCAGTCAAAAGACTTTTGGGGCATGGGGGACGATATTCCTCGTTCTGGAATGAGGGTGGAAGGCCGCAATTGCCCAGACAGCTCTCTGAAATGCACAGACATGGCTAAAGCTGGCCTCGTGTTTCTGTGCGTTTCATCCCTCCTCACAATGTTCTTTCCCGGCTGTCTGAGGTTTTCACTCACTTTTCCTAAAGTTTGTTTCGAACCCCACAGAGCCAGCAGTGCCTGTGCGTACTTCATCGTGATCATTGCAAATACGGCGGTGAGAATGGTTATAATTGAGAGCAGGTAACTTGGTTCATTTAGCTCATTTATTTTTTCAATAGCCAATTGATCTGAGGATCCCACCCCGCCATTTCTGAAGGAAGCCAGGGTATCAGTCTCTACGAAACAACTGGGCAGTGAGTTCCACACCCCCACCGAGCTTTGTGTAGAGAAGTGCCGCCTGTTCTCAGTGATAAATGTGCTTCCACTTCATTTCCGCTGGTGCCCCTGGTTAGTGTAGATGTTCTATCAAGAGGGTAGAATAAACAAAATAAAACAGAAATACAGGAAAGGTACATAACATGACCCTAATCTCAAACAAAAGACTACATGCGATATGATTTCACGCAGTGATTTAAGGAGAATGTTTTCATGAGAATTCATACTGTTCCACCAGGTATTCAGATAGATGGGGACTGCCTCTTAGTCTGGAGCTTTTTCAATCTAAAAGTCCAAAAGTGTTTCATTCGTGAATCCATTGAGAGGCAGCTGGAAGATCCTGGTGGTTCCATTTATCCATATTTTAGTAGCGGCCATTTGTCAAACTCAGACGCTTCCATTCAGTTCCATAACGTCACCTAAAAAAGCTGATACTGGGCTCATGTTTAAGACCTTGTTCTAATACGTTGCTTAAGATATTTCTAGCTACCATTTCCTTTAATTGAAACAGGTGACGGTCACAGAGCCCTCTTTGCTGAGCTTTGATTTCCTGGAGTTTAGATTCAGTTCCTCCTCTGCGTCCAGCCCTTGTTCATGAAAGCAAGCCATTGTTCTGTAGCAGCCCTTACCCCTCAGAGCCTAGTCTACTTCTCTTCTCCTCTGTGACATCACTTCCTCTTCTGCATGCTGAGGTCATAGTCTCTACCACTGGGCTCTGTTTGACGCCTGGTTCAGGAGATGCCACACTGGGGCCTGTTTTTAATTGTTAAAGGGACAAGATCCATATCTCTTCCTCTTGTATGTGAAACAAAAATTGAGAATCTGAAAAGACCAGAGACAGCCAATTGTGAGAAACCTGAACCAAACTCAGGGATCTCTGTCAGATTCACAAAGAGAAACCTGTCACGTACCCAAGGGAATCTATCACTTCAGGTCACCTTATAAAACCGTAGCAAGCTCACAATCGCAGTCGGTGGACCATTACCTGAAGCATAACACATCCAGGCAGGTCATAAAAATTCCTTCAGCCTGTTTTTTCACTCTGGGTTAAAAATAAACCTGTCTGGGAGCTCTGGAAACTGGGAGCTTTCATTTAGGCCTAAAGCAAGCTGCAATCTGAATTCCATTGTACAATTCCTGTTAGGAGTAAGTGAGTACTGTGCTTCTCACCCCTGTGGTACAAACTGGTTGTATTCGCACCCTGTAGGCACGGTG